AGACTCGATTTCAATCTTCGTGGCGCGATTGTCCGGTTGCTCGAACGAAAATTAGTATAGCACGCTGGAGATAACGTGGGAAAAATCCCAATCGGTTCTCTTTGATTGTAACTGAAGAGAAAGGGAAGGGATAAATATCAAATCCAATGGAAATTGGAAAGTAAATAAAGTGGTACCCATCCTCGGTAATCTATGGGTCTCGGCGAAACGGGGCAAAGGTCGTGAGGTTTTCTAAAGCTACAAAAGCGAACGTTGATCGATCGTGAGCCATGTAAATTACACCGAGCGTCGTCCGATTTGCTGGCTCCGCACAATCCCTTTTCTCCCTTTCGTCCGTTCACGTGCGTATCTGTTCGTTTTCTGTTCGAGCGAATAAACTGTGGGCGTCCCCGTTTCAAACTGTGGCCCTTGGTTGAAAATGGAAAGTTAATGTGAAGTTCGTCGAAGAGAGGATTTCCCTGCCAGTGACTAAATGCCTATTCGAATCGAAACTATATCGTACACATTGCCATAGATTCTTGTTTCACGAATATCGTATTCTCTCGGAGATTGAATGAAACTAAAGCATCGTCTGTACCTCGCTACGTAAACTTGTTGTGTCCACACATGCGCAAACATCGTTAGGGAAGAGGAAAAGAAAAAACAAGGGTAAAAGGAAAGCAACGAATTCTAAATTTGAATTTGTTTATCTGCTGGCCACTGGGTTTCTCATGGAAAAATCCGACCGGCTACGGTGAATTCGTTAAATCATGCCGTTCTTTGCTAGCCTGGTTCACCAACGCCGTACCGGCGAGAGAAAAGCAACTCGCTGACAAATTTCGAATGCCAGTTGCGAGACGTAAGTCTCTCGCTACGGAGCAAACATTCGCGCCAACATAATTCCGGGAAAGGAAAGGCGAATGTTGAAGTTAAGCGGAGAACTGGAGCATGGGCTGGAAGATAATAAGAGAAACGGCCGAGGAAAATAACGGAAGGAGCAGTACGGAAGCGCGAGAAAGGAAGTTGCAGCGAACAGAGAGAAAAATATTCGGACCAGATCCTCTGTGGTTACCAGACCGAATCGACCGCATTCAGAGAATATAGTAATCAGGTATCTTACGAAAAAACTGGATAAATTCTAACGATTCGATTAAACTGTAGTTTCAACCTTTATTAGTAGCAAGTGCAATTTTTCAATTCGGTCGCAAGAGTAACTAATTAATAACGCGATGTTGAAGTTTGCGAAACTAAAGTCTCCAGCGTACGTAAGTCGAGTAAATATTTGCGACCCGCTGTTGCGTTTTCGTTGCATTTCTTATTGGCTTTCTTATCTCGTAAAACGAAAGTTGGCAAGAGTTGTATGTTCAGTTCTGTATGTGCATGAAAAAAACTTCCGTCGTTTCTTCTTTGTTGTGTGGCATGTACGAACGATTGAATAGTGAAACCTTTTCACGTTAAACGTTCGAAAAAAAAAAAAAAAAAAAAAGAAAAAACGTAGTTAACGTGATCGAGTTTCGATTGGTCACACCTTCCGGCGTTGTTCCATATTGTCAGAAGCGAAATTCATCTTCGCGGATGAACAGTACTGGTGAAATAACGAGCGGAACGTGAAAATCCGGCGAGAACTTGGTCCATTACCATCGGGAAACGTTTCGCGGCGTGTCGTTTCGACCAGGCTCGTTTGTCAACGCAAACTTTTGACGATTTGGTCATTTGTGTGTATGTATACGATCGGGATTTATCCAAGGTAGAAAGTAAAGAATCGGGAAGAAAAATGGAAGCAAATTAGAGTGAAAAAAAAAAAAACTGGCCACAGTGAACGAAAATATTGAAAGGACGAAATGAGAAGGAACAAGAACGGAATGATGATCCAAGTCAACATAGTTCGTCGCATAATTAGTGATACAGAAAATTTGCGGCTTTGACTGACTTGCAAAAATGTACTGCAAATAGACACGATAAATGAAAAATGTTAATTTCTGTTTCTTTGATCGTAAATTGGTATTTGTGGTCAAATAGGTCCAACTTCCCCAGTAATTAAACAAATTGATAAAAGAATGTGCGATCGTTAATTCCCGACAGCAGCAAACAGCTAATATCGGTAAATATCGCGCTGCAAAGCTTGTAAACATTCGAGTTGATTGCAGGAAAATTTCGCCATCGGTGTAGCTTTCATTCAAAATAATGTTTAATGAGTTCCAGTGGTAATGGTTTCCAGACCAACTACCCTCATCGCTGAGAATGTGGTTTATTAAGCAATGACAATTTCACCTAATAAGGACAAGAAACTTTGTGGATACGAAGAGCGAAATTTGGATAGGCCAAGTGGATTTAAACTTTGCTTAATTTCGGCTAAATGTTCAAGAAATTATGTGTCCATACTAATTTTATCTGTGAAAAAGGACCAATCGCTCTATGACCAATTCGAAACTTCGTAAATATGGGCGAGGAACTACAAAATGAACAGTTGCAATTTTTGGGATAATTAACGTTTCTGGCAAAAAAACTACTTTATGTTTTCATAATTCAACTGCAGTCGGAAATCTAATCATTATTTCGCATCTATACGAGCTACTCTATTACCAAAGAGTAATAAAACATATGTTGGTTTCCATACTGTAATTAACGGGAATTGGAAATATAACAATCATATATATAATTATTATAATTATAATAATCAATATAACTCATAATAACAATAATATAAAATAACAATAACATATAATAGTAATAATATGAACGTAATAATAATAAATAATATAATAATAAATATAAAAGTCAAAGTTTCTCCGAAGATTATAAAACGTTGTTGCACATCAAATATGTTCAGTCAGCCATTGAATTTTTGCTAATACTTCATAATGATCTGTGGACCGGGTAATAGTACTCATTAACACATAACGATTTATAATCACGTTTCAGGGAAATTCACGGCTATATACAGATATCGATCGACAGGGTCGACATTTTCTCTGCGCTCTCAGTCGAACACGGCTGCCGCGCAGTTCCCTGTTCGCGGGAATTTATGATCCGCCGATAAAAGGGTCAAACAAAAACGCCCTGGTGGACGTTTACTGGTTCACGAACAACGAATCGTTATTACGAGCAGCACATAATTAAATTTTCATAGTCCGCATGCGGCGTAGCGTGAAGCAGTTGTTCGCTTGGCGCCATGCCTTCCTCTTTCACCTCTGCTTCTTACGCTTTCGCGTAATCCATGCACGTGATTTTCTGGCAAAAATGACAAAGACTCGAGGAACAAGAAATAAAAGCGAGATTTTTTCGGCGATATGAACGGCGCATTTTCCAGCGATATCGTTAACTACGAACAACATGAACAAAAGTACAATGAGTCGTATGGCGATAGATCAAAGAAAATTAAAACATGTTTACGTAGTTCGTCGGAAAAGATAATGAGCTGGATGAGTACGAAAACGGGAATTGCTTAATTTCATTACAGTTCAAAGTGATATTATTTTTCCAGACGGAGCGCGTAAAATATGTACATGAAAACTTATGATTGTGCTCACCTCCATAAAATTTGAAGAAATTTCTCTCGTGACATTCTGGCTAATTAGTCACCGCTCGTTTCGTTTTCAGAGTCACCGTCCTCTGAATTGCTTCGGTCAGTGCTATTTTAACGACACAACGTAACAAGACTTGTCGTCTAACGAGAGATAACGTGTCAAAGATTCCCTTGTTCTGTTCTTTACGTCATTAGCTACACTATCGATTCAAACGGTTCTCTCGTCAAAATCCATGACGAATTGCATTACACAATGTGTTTCGGCCACGTGTCAAACGATGCACAATGATATTGAAGCATGGCGAAATAGTAGAGTTGTTACTACGTCCTTTGGTTTTGGTTGATTGGTTCGATTCATTTACTCCTTGAATTTCACTGCTTGCAATTGACGGTTGACAGCTTCATACATAAAACGTGGCCTGCAAGCGCTACACGTAGGTACGCCGAAAGCATTATTCGTTGAAAAATTCAATATCAGTGCGTCAACGTACGTGTCATCTGTTGATTCGTATGCAGCGATGTGTCTGATCAAACGTGGTCCTATTTCACTTGTCGCCCTCACTCAGATGCGGCTATCGTTCGTGCATCTATTGTTTTACATTTCAGCTATTCAAATCTTCATATACAAGGAAGATTTTCATTCATTATAACGAAACGTTCCATCAAACATTTGATTGCCGTCTTGTTGCCAGACAGTTCTGCCATGTTTCCTTCTGATTAAATGCTGTTTGCTGCTTTACTTTTATCTTTCGCAATTTCAAACGCTTTACTACTTTTTCGCGAGCAGGTGCTTTACCATTACCTTTACTACACAACGTTTCGGTTGCTGATCTCTCTATACGCTCTTTTATAGTCACATGCTCGATTAACGCTCGTACGGTCAAATATTTCATCGCTTCTTTCACTTTTACGGGCCAGTCTTTCATTGGTCCATACACTTTACAGTTTTCTTCTTGCCAGGATTTCCACGTTTAACTTATGTTCACTGCTACATTCATATTTACACAAGGGTCTAAAGCAAACGAATAACAGGAATAACGTAGAGAGTTATTGTAAACAAAAACAAAAGTTGGGAGGGGGATGCGGGAGGAAAGTATGGAATGACGACACAAAGGGTGTTACAGGCGAGCGCGTAATCGGATTACCCTCATAATCAAGAATCAAGCATCGATCGATCCCCCCCCCCCCCCAATTGGGTACTTCCACTCGACAGGACGAAGCTTTCGGGAAGCAACGACGCGGCGATGCGCGCCTCTCGAAATCCCCTTGAGCAACTTGGCGTACGTGAGCGGGATAAAGGATTAGCTTCGTTTAGGGCACACGAGTCGCGGCGCGCCGCCCGTGAAATCTTATTAGTCGAAAAACGCGGCCCGTATAAAAAGATCCAAGATAAGTCGCGATTCGTTCAAGGTAAAACGCGATGGCTACGGTCGCGGCGATGCGCGATCGCCATTGCTATCTCGAAGCCTCGCCCCCGTTTATCTTCCTCTCTCTCTTTCTCTCTCTCTCTCTCTCTCTCTCTCTGTCTTTCTTAAGATGGAATAATCTTGGAGATTAAGGCGAGTGAGAAAATTACACCGTGTGATGTTAGATACACGTGTATATTTTCGATTCGCGCAGCACGTAAGTTGCCGCGCGCTCTAATCTGAATCTGCTGAACGTTTGTCGGAGACATGCTGCTCTGTCGCCAGCTTATTTCACTCGAACCGCTATTACTTTCCTTCATTTTCGAGGCAGGTATTTCTTTCTGTGTTTTTCTTTGTCCCTTTCATATTTTTTTTTTTTTTTTTTGAATATTTCCGTTCTCACCAAGGGAACATCGACAAGATGAAATTCAAAGACGGAGGCAAGCAGCTTAATTGGCAAAGCAGATTGCTGCGAGGTGGAAAGTTCTTAATAGACTCCGCGAATCTGTGCGCTGCACTGTTGACTTGTAACTTTTTATGCTGGTACGACGGATTCCGGAATTCCGGCCTCGGTTATTTGCCAGAGACATTTAAGAAAGTCTTTAATCTTCTTAACAAAGTCATTTGGAACGTGACTGGTTGAGAACTCTAAAATGCTCGTATGCGATTTAACTTTGATATAACGGAATTAATTAAAATCGCGGTATCGCGTCGAATGCACGGATAATTAAAAACGATTGGAAAATCGTAAACTGTTGGCTGTCTGGTAAACACTGTCGATAAAACGATGCCGATGCGACGTTCAGCGCAACTAATGACGCATTCAACCAAATAGAAAACGGATGGACATGCGACATTCATGTTCGTCCAACGAGTCGCGAATAAACACCGACCGTCACAATATTGGTCCGCAGGAATATCGTCAAGCGCGTATCTACATCCACTGGCCAGCCAGATCGGAAATCGGCTGAATCTAAATTATGGACAGACATGCGTCGTAACGCTGCCTCGAGCGTTGTCGCCGATTGTACGTGTCACTTCCGGTTAGCCGAAGAAATTTTGTACGTATTCTGAGGCAGAGGATTGAAGAGGGTTTGCAATGTGAATATCGGACGTGGAAAGAACGTGGAGAAATTTTCTCTGAAATTAAATATTCTTCGTCCGATTAATCGAAAAATTCTCCCGTGTGCGCGTGGCATGCCTGTACGTGACGAGTACGTTTAAAAACGATAACCTTCTCGCCAGAGTGTTCCAGAAAATTGAAGACTCGATTTTTAAGACGAGCAAAAGATGTATACGAAATTACCAAGTTCCAAATGAAATTTTAAACAAGAAGCAGGAAAGTTGTCTAATGCGAAATGTTTTGCCAGACTGATCACAGATTATGAGTAAACGGCAGGGCACGCGGTAGGAAAGAAGGCAAACAAATTGAACGAAAGCATCTTGCTGGAACGATGCCCGAGAGAATCGCGGCGAAACAGTAAGCAGGCGAACTCTTTATTTGCACGTGGGAACACGAGGCGGATCTGAATGAAAGCCGCAAGATAACCGCAGCATCTGGTACGAGGCTGTTGCAATAGTTTCGAGTGGATCAGCGTCAGTTCGACGTAACAACTTTTAATTTGTTTACACACGAACGAGAGAGAACGACCCCGCCGTACTCCGTTATCGAGGGACTGATAATAGAGAAGTTGAGGAACGGTACTGGGTCCAGTCGATGGTCGAACCAACTAGTTAGTAGGAAATTTTTGACGCCAAGTCTCGTTGAAGTTTCTTCACTAGAAAATAACGAAGTTGCCATGGACAGGAGCGAAACTGTTCGAAACTTGCAGTGGATAGGATCGACAAGCTACTTGGCCGTCTGCCGAGTGTTTCGGTTTAAGCATGGAATTAAACAAGTAGAAAATTGAGATGGAGGAAGAATCATCGTCACGTCGTCCGTGACGCGAAGGTATCTCGCTGACAGGGACGAGAGCGTGTCAGACGTTATCCGCAAACATCCTTTCCGCTCTCGACCTTAAAGTCCTTTCTATTCGCTCCAATTCGAGCAAGTAGGTTAGTCAGATAAGTCCGGACGCCTACGTGGCACGATGAAACACGATGTGGACGTTAGAATAGAGGCGTCTTGCCTGCTCTATCTCGGATATAACCTTTCAGCGGTGAATACCGTTCTAATCTGTTGTAAACACGGACGTGGTTCACTGTCGAGCGAAAACGTCCGCGTCATTCTCTGTCGTTTCAACACGGAAGAAGACGAAAATTTGCTAAATGCCATCCAGCACCATTCGACCGGATTAGTCAACGCAACGCTATAAATACCAGTCCGCAAACGTCGGTCGTTTTAAACGCGACGCGTTTATTCTCTTTCCGTGTTCCTCGCGCTATCGTCCAGCTTTAGACGATCTACCACCTAGCTTACACGACGCGAATGGAACATGAAATCAAGGCCCACGACGAGCGGAAGGTAACGTCGAATGCTCACGCGCGAAAGCTGTTGAGACGTGTAAAATAATTTCCACAGACCCTGCGACAGTGTCAACCGTTTACAGAGACCCGCGTATTTTTGGCCGCCGAAAATTCTCACTAGAAGATATTACCGCGTAGATGGGAAGTTACGTAGTGAAGTGAAATTGTGTGACGTCGAGGAAATTTCTCGCTATCTGGCTTAGGTCGTGAACACGGACAAAAGGATTTTTGTTTCGTGGCATATGCGGAAATGAACTGCCATTCTGTTCTTTTTGCGTTGTACGCTATGTGACGTTTGAAAATTTCTACTTTTCTCTTCGTACAATTTTACGACACTTTAATCTGCCCCCGACATTTGGCGACGCTCAGTTCTCGTTTAACTCGAAACCACTTTATACTGGATAGGGTGTAAAATTTACACCTATTACATTCAATCAACACGGCAATGGAACATCTAGGGCTCAAACTACGTGACCTAGTTCCCCATGCAACGTAACGTATGCATCTCCAATAAACTACCATTAAGATAACTTTTAGCCTATCTAATGCCAAAATGATATTTCGATATGAACGAAAAATATACGTCAAGTGCTATTAAGGATAATGATTGCACGACTTATAGAAACGATTGCAACTAATCGGTAAAACGTGAATGTTTTGGCCAAATAAACACCGTTTAAGATGCATAACCGAACACACATATGGATCTTTAACGTTAATAATTTTATCGAGTATAGAGCATGCAAAAAAGAAAACAAAATATATACTGTTTTGTAGAATGTTTTGTTTTTTCAAAAAATATTTTGTGACCTATTATCATCACTATTCTGGCAAATATAAATTGTTTTCGTGGAGTCATATTTGCACTAAAATTAATTTAAATGAAAAATTGTCCGCGCCTTAAACTGTTATAACTTTGTTAAAAAAAAATCATACAACGATATTAGTCTCAATTTAAAATGTAAAGCTTCGGTTTTCTACTACTTACTAAAGTCGTTTTTTATTTTTCAAGATATTTTAATATCATGTAACAAACGGAAAAGTGTTTTTTTCTTTTAGAAAATTGTAAAAATTCACACACAATGTAAAAACATTGGAAAATTTTATTTATGACTAAATCCGTTATGGTCTTTTCCATTTACAACAAAACGTTAAAATTTGCGACGATTCTTTTTTCATTTTTTCATTTTCTCTTGAACTTTGAACATTAGAGTTAAACAAAATTTAAAAAATCCCAACGTTTCATCATCCAATCTTAACGTTCAAAGTTCAATAAAATTGCAAAAAAAATTCGTGCAGCAAATTTTAAGGGTCGTTGTAGAGAGAAAGTTTCAATTTTCATAACCATCCAGTGGACTAAATTATGAAAAAAATTATTAATATCTTTAAATGTTTGAATTTTTACAATTTTTGAGAATAAGAATACTCTTACTTTTTTACCCGCTACATAATGTAAAAATATTTTTAGAAGAAACGAACTCAAAACAATCGAAACAATAGAAGCTTTGAGAAGATGATTCTCGTATTGATTTTCTTTTACGAAGTTATAACAGTTTAAAGTATCGATAATTTTTCCTTATTATGTGTTCAGTTATACTCCTTATTGTAACAGGAATACAGTTTCTCATCTAAATAGCTTGCAGTTAAATAGCTTCTCTTCTACGATCATTTGTACAAATCAGTAAAATCAGCAATTGTTGGACGAGCGATGCATCTCTTCTGGCGATGCATCGCCATTTCCGACTATTAAATTCGTTTTCTCCAGTGGCGCTTCAGGAGATCACATCGACAAACGGTCGGTGGTAGAATTTTCTCGACAGGCTTCAACGATTTTAATATTTCCCCGCTGCGGAAGGTATCTGGAAGCAGCGCTAACGCGAGTCACGTTCGCTGCCGATTAAAATCGAAACGGAACGGTGTGCAGCTCGATTGTCGACGCTCTACGGTGCTTCGTTTTCCAGCAGCGTACGCGTCTCGTGGCTGATTCTCGTTTCGTGACGCGCAAAAAATCGCACCCCATTAGCGATCGTCTCTTGTTCCTACGGATGACCATCGAATTATCGGGATCCCTCTTCACAACCTGTCCGAGGCTGTACGTTTCATTAAATCCAACACGCGCTTTCTCGCATTCCGTTTGTTTGCCACAACGGAATTCCATTCAGTTCAATTCACGTCAAACGAACGCCACTTTCTTCCTCCATTTTTTATTGTTCGTTTTGCGGACAGAAATTTCGATGTAGGCCTGTCTATGTCACATTAAACTGCTAATTATCAAGAAACACGCATAACCGAATATGAGGTGAAGTCATTTCGATGAAAGAATAGAAAGAAATGCATATGGAATAAATTTTGTTTTTTCATCCAAGACTTAATTTTCAATAAAACCGAATTTTAAAATTCATTACATGCAATTACACCCTCGGACAAAAGGATAGCGCACTCTAAAAAATATTAAATTTCTTTTTACTGAACGAATGATATAAAATCTTTTTTATGTGCATTCTTCCATGGTGCTTTTTATCAACATTAGCTTTTATAAGTGATATAAATTATTAGTAATGTGCTTTTTACAATATATTTTGTGTCATTAAAAAAAAATGATAAAAATATGGTAATACTTGGCTCAAAATAATAGCACATTTTGTGAAGAACAATGGATAGAAACAAAAAAAAGCAAGTTTTGATAATTGTTTAATACTTAGTATGACTTCCTTTGCATTTAGTAACGGCAGCTATTCTTTGAGGCAAAAATTTGTATAGTTTTTTAATGAGTTTTTGGCTTAGTCTTTTCCGTTCCAAAGCAATGCATTGTGTTTCATTCTGATATAAGGCTCTCGGAAAATTTCCTCAATAATTTTCTACTATATTTAAGTTTAAATTGAATCTCTTTTCATCGGCAAATACAATTCCTCTATTTTTTATACATAATTCACGATACATAGTATAAGAAAATATAAAATGTGCTATCTTTTTGTCCTGGGATGTATGGTTAATTTTCATTGTAATACTCCTGTTTATGAATTACATTGCTCAACGAAAAGGATTGTGTTAGTCCTTTAGATATTTAAAATTACCAAAAGTCTAAAAGTTTAATATTAAACGAGAAAAATGCATTCATCTTTAAAAATCTTTAACATTATTTTTTTTGATATGTTTATTCAATATTTAGGCTGAATTTAGTTATCAAAACTTCAGAACAGAGAACCGATAAACTAAGGAAAAAATGTACTTTAGAGATTTTTTCGTTTTTACTCTGTTTTAGAGGAAATAATAAAAAAATAATTTTAATTTTCTCATTCATTCAGTAAATTTATTCATTTCCAATCAATACAAGAGAGTAACTAAGAAATCAAAGTAATGTACCAATTATCACCAGGATGAAACACAATGAAAGTGATCAAAATCCGATGTAATGTGTGTATTGCTGCAAGTGACCTTTGGAACAGTATCTTCGTTAAATAGATGATAATAGATGATGTTATAAGATGATAATATGGATAACAAAATAAATGATAATATCAATAAGTATAAAGAAATAAGCGAAAAAAATAACCTTTTTGTTTTTTTTCGCGATTTTCTCTGAAATGGACAGAAAACGGGCAAATTTCTAATTATATATTTTCTTAATACATCGACTATATTTTTTCTTAATACATCGACTCTCTCATATGCTCCCAAAGTTTTCGGGCCTGTATTGTAATATATTATACTCTAGTTAGTAAATCAAATATTTTGTTATTGATTATAAGATTGTACACAGAACGCCCTCTGGCTGAAAAGTTAAATTGCATGAGCAATCAGTTTTCATTCTGTTATCAAGATAATGAGTTATGTGACAACAAGACAAGCTCTAAGGGTCGAGTCCACAGTATCGATTCTCTCACGCAGTACCTCAAGATTCATCTCCCATTTCTGAATGTTCGTACCACATATGTATTACTACGAACACTCAGTATTACAGTGAAAAAGTAGTTCGTTTTTAAATTCCTTGTAGTTATTGTCACTGTAGAGCAGTATATAAATATACTATATTTGTACTATAAATTAGCACAGCTTTTGCTTTAGCTTTTATCATTTAAAATTTCAGTTAAAAAGTAAAAAATTCATTACGTTAAAATTTTATCTAATTTTGCAATACGTGTATGCGTGATTGCACAATAGAGTGTTGATTATTCGAATTCCAACGTAGCGTCGTTGTTTAAATTTCGCATTGACGTTTCTCATTTGTTTACTGAAATGATGACAGATAATGCTGTGTATTGTTGACTATTATTTGGTTTATGTGGTCGCTTGATTATTTTTGTAAAATATTTTGCAAAAATTGTCGGCTGTAAGCTCTGAGGTTTATACTCTTCATTTTTTTTTTTCTCCACACTGTAAAGTGTCCACCGGAGCCAGAAATGTTAAATTTGCTCTCATCTGTTCCAAAAATCCACCGGTGTTTTTACGTAACTTTGTGCGAACTCGAATCTCTTCTTTCTATTCCTTTCATTCACATAATATTTGTGAATTGCATATAATACGCTAGCGCATTTAAAAACACTCCTGCAATCATCAGATATTAACCCTATTGAACATTTGTGGGATTATCTGGAATGAACAATTCGAAAACATACAATTTTATCCAAAACAGACTTAAAAAATATTTTAATCAACGAATGGAATAATATCACTAATAAAATCACATCTAATTTGGTTAATTTAATACGTAGAAGGCTAGTTGCAATAATAAAATCGAAGAGAAACCCTACTAAATACTAATCACAAGTATTAATTTTACAATTATTTGTTGTTTCTATTATAAATGTTTAAATAAAAAAATAAATGTATAAATTACTTGTACACTTGATAATGACAATAGAACTATATAAATACTTATTACGCGTTCATTTCTGTCATTTCGTTCATTTTTCCTGATATGTATATAAACAATAAGAATATTTTTTTTTTGTTTATATGATATTGTTGTTTTACAGACTTTGAAGAATAGATGTATCATGCTTGTTTAAAAAATATTGTGTAATAAATATTATTATTCAGCATTTTAGTCGTGATTATACGAATACTTGTAACACCATTGTATGTCTAAATTAGATATTAATGTTGTTTATAAATTATATACATTGCATTTCAAATTTCACAGCAATAACTAACTTTGGGCGTAATACCGTACATTCAATAACTAATTCTGGGCTTAATACCTATTCGTAAATTCCTTTTAGGCTTATTCTACTGGGCAAGTTCGGTATGCATGTTCAATTATCCGAACTGTTTGGTTATCTAAATCTTCTTAGTCCCGATTAGTTTGGATGAAGGATTAACGTTCTCTTATATT